TGGAAAAGTACGTAAATAATTTCATTAACAAGGCAGAACAACAGACACCAAAAAGCTTTCTCGTAGCTCCGAGTTTCGTGTTTCAAAAAACACTCATCAGGCGATAAAACATAATAGTGCTATTCGCTAGTTACATGTGCATTGTACATGTATATAGGGCAATTATAATGTTAAATGTAGGCTAAAGCAGTGCTACAACCACGACACGTGAGGCGATAACACCAGCACTGGAATACACTGTGACTCTAAATTGCATTAAACAGGTATTCACATGCCCGTCTCTTACTCTGTATGTAAACATGGTAAAAATTCACCTAGGGTTCCCAGTAAAAAGGCAACGCCTGTTGGGACTCCCCTAGTAAAAAAATAAAATCTACTACTACTACTACATGTATGTACAGTGTACATGTAAGTATACTTGCACACGTACATGTACATCTACAGTACAATGTACGTCACGAGTCGATGGTGATCACTGCACACTGCAGCCAACAACAACAACAACATGCAATCAAGGAAACCTGACTTCAGAGTGATGGTGAGCGTCGAGTTTGCTGGAGAAATGTCAAGACATGTAGTGTCAAGACAAAAAAAACTAGCACACCCCGCTGTGAAAGGAATGCATGTAACACGATAGTAGTGCAGCTAGTTCTGGAATAAAATTCAATTATTTCTAAGGTCGAAGTGCAAGTACATGTACATGTACATTGTATACGTGATTGTAGATTTAAACCTCTGATGCATTCTTGACAGCTTTCCTTCTTCCGCAACCAATGCATGTTTCTCAGCTACATGTTTGCATCAAGTGAGTCAGAAAGTTTGAGTTACGCACGGCAAGCAGAACTGAGCCTTTACTCTCTGTACTGCAATAGGCATTTAGTCCCAACTCCAGCACATGCACTCTGTTGTGGCGACTCCACTCGCCACGCCAGCCAGCAACACGACTCCAAGGTGTTCTATTATAATGGCATGTACATTCCCCATTTTTTTAATTTCTCTACTGTAAAACCTGTCAAGGCGACCACTCGGGGGGGGGGGGGCGACCACCTGTCGAAGAAGACCACCGAAACCAGGATGCTATTTCCAGTCAAATGACCCTCGATAAGGAGACCACCTGGTAACAGAGACCACATTTAGAAGGTCCCTTGAGTGGTCGTCTTAGACAGGTTTCACTGTACCTATATTGAAGTGATTTGTGTGATTGAAAAAGCTGCATGGAGGAATTCTACATCATACATGTCACTTGTAATACATTATCTACTCTAACTTTGAGTCGTTTTGCAGGCTCATGTGCTGAATGAGGTCGGCCGGAGAGCGCATGTTGTAGCACTTCGACTACATCATGATGAACATGCATAACCTGCTTACCCTCCCATGCCTTTCTTTATAATAGACATAGCAAAAATGTATTTGGTAATTGTTCTATTTTTAAAGGAAATGACCAAAATGTAACATGTTATCTGTAGTTTGTGTCCAACACTAACACTAACAGTTATAAGTAAGATGTTGTGTAGTCAGAAGGTGCAAATAAATATTATATTTCACGGTTTGCGTGAGACTCGGCTAGCCCTTTCCCAAAGGTGCTCGTTCTTTTTGGCCCTTTTTGGCCCTTTTTGGAAAAGCCCTTTTCTTTCGCCCTTTATTGTGTTTTTGGTGAATATCGCCCTTTTGAGCTTTTTTAGCTGAAAAAGTGCTAAAATCTGTTTGCTCATGCATGCGAACACAGTTTCCGAGTGCTCGATGGGCCTTGGCACGCCGCTTTTTTGGGGGGGGGGGGGCAACAAGTTGGTGAAGCTTGTACCCGGTACCCGGTGTACACAATGATGTAAAAAGTGGTTTTTTTTGAAATTTACTTCCTGTTTTGCCTGTCGTGGACCCTTAAATGGAAGAGTGCGTATTCATTTCTCAGCTTGGATTCATACATGCATCTTAACATGTATCATGGCTATGCTTCACTGAAAAAAGAGCACTTTTTCAGCATATTTTGAGGGACGCGAAAAGCACTAAGTGCGAATTAAAAGAGCACCTTTGGGAAAGGGCTAGACTCGGCTGGAAGGCGAGTTTTCCGGAACCGCCGTGGGAAGGTGCAACAGCTATCATAATACTGACTGATGTGATGCTGACATTCAACGACCTAATGATCGGGTGATAAGTGTTCTATCTTCAGGAAAGCATGTTTGTTGTTTACTTCGCACAAGCTGTTCATATCAGGGAGTAGTACAATACCCGATATTTTACTACTCACTGATTCATAGTGATGTTTCTATTGGCAAGGATCATTAATTTTGGGTCTTGAATTCGATTTGATGTAAATACATTATGTGAACATGGAGACCTCGAGCTTAGTAAACAGGCCATCAACTGTGTTGTGTCATTGTTCTTAAGTGTTGGCACAGGACTACATGCAACGTTAGGTGCTAATTGACGCCTGAGCTTTCTCATGACAATCCAAGAGGCGAGATCAAGTGTTTGGACAGCAGTAACATTTCTGGCTCTGGCTTGACAGATGCATAATGCTAATGCCAAGGTAGACAATAGTTTAGTAACACACTGACCCTCATACACTTGCTGCGCGCCACAATGCAGCCAAAGTCGCAAAAGGCCAGTGGGGTGATCTGGGCACGTCGAAACGAGAATGACACGTACGCGAGATATAGCAGTTTCCGGTTGTGTGCATGATAGCTCTGTCGCGGTTATTATCAGTAGTGATGCATATGTCCTTCAGCACTGTTTCCTACCGCTTAAAAATGCTCGATATCAACATCTTCCGGTTGTTCTTCATGTAGACTATAACAACGATTACAAGCTCTAGGTGTCTGTCGACAACACCAGTACATGTATTCAGAATCCATGTCATTGTGTGATCCTGAGGAGTTGAACTCTTCCGACACCCGTGGAGAATACAGTGTAGTAGTGCTGTACTGTGCTGCATCAGCTGTTGTCTGGTGTACATGGACATGTATCATTCTGTACACGCATTGCTCGTTCCACTACATGCCGTCGCACGTTCTTATCGTGTAGTTCAGTTCTCCCTCAGATCGGATTCACACTATGTCATTCACGGCATCCAGAATAGCTCCAGGGCTCCGCCATGCTCGCCTGGAATGGTCAGCTACATGTATGTGTGTACAAGCATAGAGTCGACCTGCTTTGTACATTTGTATATGGAGGACCCAGAGAGACCAGGAGACATACAATGCGAGTCACAAAGTCTCCTCCTCCCAAGGATACTGCACAAAAAATGCAAGGACTAAGGATATCGTGCAGGAAGCCTGCATGCATCCTTCATTCCCCAATGAGAAGCCCATGGATGTCAACTTTACCAAACTGCTCCCGGCATTCCGTTTCTTAGGAGGCGCCGCTGGTGTCACTGTAACAGTGTTACCTGCTGTTCACACTCCTATCCCCTCTATCAACGGCCCTTCGGCCTATCACCTACCATCCCGCCTATCTAGTTGACACCTTTACATCATAACCCTGTGCAGTACGAATAAAGATGATTCTTTTCCTCAACCCGCAGTAGCCGGTTACACTGGTAGCAGAGAGGATGATTTCCATGGACCTGACTAGTACTGGCCTTCCGCTCCTGCTGACCGTCATCGCCGTGACCGCGTACCTGGCTCTACAAGAGTTGCGACGACTCGTGGCCGCCATCACTCCAACTCCTGCGAGACCATTTCAAGTCCCATCCAGCACAGGGCTAAGCACCAGAGAACACCCTCGCGATAATATTACCAAGCGCCATGTCAAGGAGCCCCCAGCATTTCACGGTGAGGCAAATTTGTTTCGGGAGTGGGTATTTAGCATGGACTTAGCTATAAAAGCCATAGGATTTGCGACACAGGAGGAAGAAGTTACTTATGCCTCGAGTTTTCTTGTGGGCAATTTCGTGATTACAGCGAATCAGAGTCCATGTCCCTGTTTAAACCCATACAAAAAAATTGATCTTTTATAGTATATCGAATAATTTTCGTTGATAAGGAACCACCATATCTCTTCATCTTGTGGGGCGGCATGTTAACTACATTGCCCGTCCGGCAGTGCAATGTCTCACATATTAAACCAATCATACTGTCATGAGCTACATGCTGTGTTGCTTGCATGGTGTGAGGGCATTTCGGTTATAAAGAACCTGGCCTATAGAGAAGTAATTCTCCTGTACAATGGTGTTGGTTATATCAGGAGTTGACTTTGCTATGGTCAAAACAGTACTATCTATACAGTATGGATGCTGTTCACGTTATGAGGTCACCGCTATACACAGGATACTGCATTAATGGAAGAAAACATTACAAACACTGGTACTACTACCTTGAACGTTATTTTCAACACAATCAACACGCACACATACACACACACGCACCCCCCCCCCCGCCCACACACACAAAACACCTTTGACTTTTTGACGCCTGTGGCTGGAGGCGATGCATTGTAGCGGTGCTACGGCAGAAGCAATAGCAATAGCAACTTGTGCGGGGATTGCACCATTCAACAGCTTGCAAGGCTGAAGAATTGACCTCAACTATTCAGCCTCAGTGGTCCACACCACACAGGTATGAAGTGGGTTTTTGTAGCCACACCACACAAACACACGCACACACACACCAGGGGCGTGCTCGGCCCCCCAAATAGAGGGGGTGCACGGGAGCCGAGGGGAGCCCCCCCCCGGCAATTTTCTGCAATTTGCTTGCAACCTTTCTTGAATTTTAGAGCATATTTGCATACATTACAATTGCAATTACCCAGATTGAAATTTTGGGGGGGGGGTGCACGTGCCCCCCGTGCCCATCGCCGAGCACGCGCCTGCACACACACACACATACACAAACATACACGCACCCATGCACACACACACGCACATACATGCACGGGGCGTGCATGCGCGCGCACGCACGCCTGCGTGCACACGTGCGCAGGCACGCACGCACAAACACATGCACATGCGACATGTACCATGTGCACCAACCACGTGAGTGGACAGAATCAGTACAAGGAAAACGTGATGTCGATGTGAACAATTCAAACTAACTGTTGCATAGATATCCTAATCATATGATTAATGTAAAGAAGAGAAGAAACACATGAGAACGAGTTATGCAGCAACTATCCACGACTGTAACAAGATAATAAACGGTCAGAAAGTGCGATAATAGGGCACAAAACTGACAGGCTACTGACTCAGTACTGAGACATTCAACGACCCGAGATCTAGCTCTAGCACATCTCCAGTGCGCAAACCAACAACCTTCCAACTTGGAAGGTTCATGGATACGTAGAACCGAAGAGGGGAATATGATTTATCTGCTACAAAACAATCTAACAAGTAAAATGTTAAAAAAAATCAGAACTATTACAGCGTACATTATAATGTATAATGAACTCAGATGGAGAGCCAAGGATAAAAACGATGAGGAAAGAACCAAAGCAAAAATATATCCACCACTGGATACAAATGGCATTCTAGCAATTGCAAACGTTCTTTTCTGAGATACCCGGGTTAATAAACACCGGGAACCAGAAGCTACCTAAGAATAACTGGAGTGGAATAACTGTTGCGGCATCTACCTAATCCATTAAAGAAATCGAAGTACTGTGGTATAAAGTACGTGAGATGTGTTCAGCTCATGTGAGAGTGCTGTAAGATAGAACACGTCACCAAGCAAGGCGGCGGATGAGTGGAGGAAAACAAAATTCTCAATGAGAAGTGTAGAAAAGGCAACTGAAAATTATTGAGGATGTACAATTAAGGGGTTGTGTTTATGTGTGTGTATGTGTGTGTGTGTGTGTGTGTTTGTGTTTGTGTGTGTGCGTGTGTTGGGGAGGAGGGGGGGGGAGAGAGCAGAGGAGTAGGATGGGATACAAGTTCAGTTTGTGTCACGCTGTGGTCATTTACGTTATGATGCATAAAAAAGTGTGAGCAAGTGACTGATGACAGGTGTCTAACAAGAAACCTTCAAAACACGAAAATCTTGTGAACACCCCAATCGGAAACAGCTACTAAACCCTCACTTGTCACGCAGGCACCCATCGGATCGTCCAGCTCTCCTTTTCCAAACTCAGCCAGTGGTGTGTAAGTTTCTGCGGCATATACCTGCACAGAACATGGACAACACTGGTCAGTGTACATGAATTCCACGTATTATAGATAGTTGATGCATGGTGGTGTATGGATGATGTATGAATGATGGATGGATGCTGTATGGAGGATGCATTAATGATGTATGGAGGATGCATGAATGATGTACGGGTGATACGTGAATGATGCATGGCGGGTGCATGAATGCTGCGCAACTCATTTATGGATGATGGTATCATGGAAGGTATGGGTTAGCATGGTTAAGCCACACTGGAATATAAGCCGCACTGGGGTATGATCCACACTGGAGTATAAGCCACACTGAAGTATAAGCCACACTGGAGTATAAGCCACACTGGAGTATAAGCCACACTGGAGTATCAGCCACACTGGAGTATAAGCCGCACTGGAGTATAAGACACAATGGAGTATAAGCCACACTGGAGTATACGCCGCACTGGAGTATAAGCCGCACTGGCATATATTAGCAACACTTGAGTATAAGCCACACTGGAGTATAGGCCACACTGGAGTATAAGCCACACTGGAGTATAAGCCGCACTAGAGTATAAGCCACGCTAGAGTATAAGCCGCACTGGAGTATTAGCCGGACTGGACTAAAAAGCCCCATCTGAACATTTTGAATTGTTTGGCACCAAATAGAAAAATCTTTCCCATTTACTACTGTTGATTTGACCATCGTAGTATAAGGCACACCGGCTTCTCTTTGGATGTATTACTGCTAGGTGTGTAAACCACTTTGCTACTTCTGAAGTATGTTTACATTCATTGAAAGATGATTATGCGTCAAACCAGCAACATGGAGACAATTTCGGTCAGGGATTCAGTAACGTTACCTCAAACAACGTCCTCTTACCCCGGCGTAAACTGAATCCACCACAACATGGCACGTATATTTCAAGTGCAGTAAAACCTGTCAAGGCGGCCACTCGGATAAGGTGACCACCTGTCCTAGAAGACCACTGCAACCAGGACCAAACGATGCTATTTCCAGTCAATTGACCCTGGATACGGCGACCACCTGGTAACAGAGACCACATTTGGAAGGTCCCTTGAGTGGTCGTATTAGACTGGTTTCACTGTAGAGATGGGCTTCGAAGGCATACTCCTATACAAGTACTTAAATTCTACTTTAACTGATTAGGCATTTCTCTAAATTTCAACATGCAAGCCAAGCATACAGTAAGAACACAGCTACAGTACATCCAAGACTTGGTTGTAGCATTGATGTGTTTCCACTGTGTTCCTTGCTCTGTTCTCCAGACATTCAGCACTCCACACAGTCTGAGTATGCATGGACACTAGGTAAACCCTAAAGCATATGTGCCAGAGGTACCATTTTGCAAATCATGCTAGTACTAGTATTCATTGCAAGCTTACATGTGAGACACACTTTTATACAAGAAAGTAGTGTAAGAGTAGAATGTACCCTTGTTTTTTGAACTGTAAGAGCTAATGTACTCTTGCTTTACTTGTACTCTGTGCATGCAGTGTACATCACTTCCTGTGTTCATATCAGTGTTGTCTGATGATTGTACTGACCATGAATCACAGACTAGCAACAAACTGACCATGCTCCACTGTTGTATATGTACTGGGTACTACTCTCTGCCTGTAGGTATTTAGAAAGAAGAACACGACAACAAGCTCTCCCTTACCATAACACGTCCATTGCCAGAATCTGCGACTAGTACATTGCCGTAGGTATCTGTAGTGACACTTTCCGGTTCCTGCAGCTGACCAAAAGCGCTGCCCCAAGAACCGAACGAAGTGATATACTCTCCATCGACGGTCATCACCTTTTGCAGGAATAAAAAAATTGAACATTCACACACACCACTGTGGTGACAGTAAGAGTATAGATATAACAGGAGTGTAAAAATAATACTCCAACACACAGTGCATAGCTACTATCATTATGACTGTAATGATGATAAAGTTACTGGTGTGCAAGTGTAAAAACTCAAAACCTGAGGTAAAACATGGACCTGGCACCAACATTTGATTACTATGTATGTATTTATTGTAGCACAGACACTGTTTGGTTTGTGACATGATGTATAGACATGATGTTTAAGAGTCTAACTTCACATCAGCCTATACACTCTTACACTGAAAAGGACAAGTAACAGGCGAACATGGCCAACAAGCACTTGCCTAACGTACACATTCATTTCTGATTGGATGAGTATTTTCCTGCCCGACCCTGTCCAGTGTATATTCCGATAGATGGGTTGTCAATACCAGTAAAGTCTCATGCAAATTAGACATGCAAAAAAGAAATAATATAATTCCAGATCTACATGTAGATATTGCAATTTCAGTGGATTTAATTGAAGAAGGTGGCTACTCCAAACTTTGGATCTCGGCTCTTGCCAGAGAGCAACACATTTTGCAGTGCTCTCAGAGCACCGATTACAGTAACGTTCACAGCTGATACAGGGGGAATTCCCCGGAACACTGCATATAGCAGAGGGTGGCACTTTTTTTGCAGATTTTCTGAGTCAAACATTCTACTTGCTGATCATGGTATCTAGACGGCAGTCATGAGTCAGTCAATTGTCAAGTCAATCAGAATGAAGTGTAAGCACCAAAGTTGGGAACAACCACCTACAAATACCTGTCCCAAAGATAATTATGAAGCTGAACTTGCTACTGCTTCCATTGCTGCTGCTGGTGTAGTAGATTTAGTAGTAGTTGTTGTTGTTGTTGTTGTTGTTGTTGTTGTTGTTGTTGTTGTTGTTGTTGTTGTTGTTGTTGTTGTTGTTGTTGTTGTTGTTGTTGTTGTTGTTGTTGTTGTTGTTGTTGTTGTTGTTGTTGTTGTTGTTGTTGTTGTTGTTGTTGTTGTTGTTGTTGTTGTTGTTGTTGTTGTTGTTGTTGTTGTTGTTGTTGTTGTTGTTGTTGTTGTTGTTGTTGTTGTTGTTGTTGTTGTTGTTGTTGTTGTTGTTGTTGTTGTTGTTGTTGTTGTTGTTGTTGTTGTTGTTGTTGTTGTTGTTGTTGTTGTTGTTGTTGTTGTTGTTGTTGTTGTTGTTGTTGTCGCCGTCGTCTCTGTTGTCATCATCGTTGTTGCCGTCGTTGTCATTGCGAATGTTGTCGTCTTCGGTGTGATTGTTGCTGTTGTTGCCAGCTGAACATGATAACATACCTGGATGCGATCGTTGCCACTATCAGCAATAAACAACCTGTTGAGGTACACTGCGATGCCTCTTGGATCTTGAAATTGGCCTTGACCACTACCTCTTGTTCCAAACGCATATCCTGTCTCACCACTGCATGGCACAATCTGTACAGTACCAGTGTACATAGAAGAATATACACCTGTGAGTTGTTGTCTGATGATCGATTAAAACCGCGAAACTCAGAGTTACAGCAGAAACGCTTTTGGTTCCTCTCAAGTGTGTGTGTAAACCTGTGAGATATGTAATTCATTTGCACACAACTTGTAACTAGATTTGGTGGTTGGGCTGTGACAGAGCTTTATGAAGCTTTCTAAAACACAAACATGTAGTGATGTACCGGTATGCCAATGGAACCCACATGCATATTCATACATACACGCACTCACGCACACACGCACACACAGACACACACACACACACACACACACACACATACACACACACAAATGCTTGCACATACTCGCACACACTACACTACACACAAACACACACACGCACACACACATGCTCGCACATACACACAGTGCACACGCACAAACACACACATGCACACACACAATCGTGTACACACCCTCAAGCCCCCCCCCCCACTCAAACGGCTCCACCCACCCACGTCACACCAATGCCCCCGACCTGCATACCAATGCGCTTGTCCTTTTACGTGCTCATTTCCAAAGCTTGAAGGGCAAGGGATTCAAAGGAATCTTGAAATGATGGATTGGCTATCGATCCATCCAACGGAAGATAACTTATACTGAAATCGACTTACTCTGGATGGACTTCGGAGAAATTATTCCACTTAGAGGCTCACCACACATGTGTGAGTGGTTTAGGACATGGTGCAGAAAAGGGTTTGACAGCACTTACCTCCCCCCCCCCCCCTCCCAACACACACACATGCACGCTTGCAAATGCATAATTATGTTATAATCGACTTCCATCCTAAAATTATCAACTGGGATTGTACTGTGTTAAGAGTATATGATTGAGCTGCTGTTACATGATTGAAAACAGTCCCACAACTTGATGCTGAACAGTGATATAGGCTAGTTCTATCTTTATGTATAGCACAGTACACTGTTAGTGGGTAGGAGAGGGATTTTACACAATACAACTGTACATGTACAGTGTGTACTGTCTGGTTATTACTTGAACCCGATGATTCCCTGTATCCGTCACAGCAAGGCACTGGCCCAGTGCGCTGTGGTTCACTTCGACAACACCAGTTGGGAAATTGAACTCGCCAATTCCTGATTCATGCCTTCCTATGGTGCTGAACTCGGAGAAGTCCTCGTCAGTGATCTGCAGAGGGGGCATGGAGATGGACAGGAGAAAGCAAGATGATTTAGAAATGGAAAATAAATGCTTTGGACCAGTTTTCGAGGAGACGAAAGGTTAATTCACGCTATAAGCAGTATTAGTGCCACAGGCATTACCATGGAAGTGAACATGGTTAGAGTTAAAACGGGTGTGTAATTCCAGAATCGATTCTCTGCTCCGGTCATCAATGGAATTTTCGGAAATATGGGTAAGCGGCCAATAAACAAAGGTTAAACGTAGTCGCGTGGTGATACATTAGACACATGAGAGTTGCTGATAAAATAATGTTATAAAACTAAGTAAAAAGGGTAGTAAACGAGGTGGTGATTATTCATGACAAAGTGTAGAAAAAAAACACTCGCATAAGGCTACTTCGAAGTAGTATATTCGTACATGTGTGTGTGTATGGGTGTGCGTGTGTGTGTTTTCAGGTGTGTTCAGGTGTGTGTGTGTGTGTATGTGTGTGTGTGTGTGTGTGTGTGTGTGTGTGTATCTGTGTGTGTGCGTGCGCGTGTGTGTGTGTGCAGGGGTGGATCCAGGGGGGGGGGGGGGTCGAACGAACCCCCTGATTTTTCAGACCATAGTTCGGGTATGACCACTAACCCATGCATGCCCATGTGACGTGCCCGCCCCATGCTATGGCCCAGTGGACTCAGGCCAGAGCGGTCCGCTAGCTATGCAGCTTGGTATATCTATATGACATTGTACTTTGTTGTGTTGAACGTAGATAATACAAAGTAAAGTAAATCTGCACTGAATATACAGCTACGCGTTCGCTTCGGAGAAAGAGGTGCATGCATTTGTTGAGCTGCTGCGGAAACTTCGAAAGTAAGTTTCAAATACTAGTTTCTGAATAGTGGCCGTGCAGTGCTGTAATTGTCATCGCGGCTCGTGCTTTTTGATCTGTCTTCGAGTTCGTCCAAGCGTCTAAAGAGGCAGGCTCAAGACCAGCTGCCATTGAATTTTGATGACACTCCAAAGAAAAGTGCAGCCACTAGTGTCGAAGGTAAAACAAAGAGCGAAACTTTGGAAATCACCTTCAAATTCAACGTCCCATCATCCAATAATCAAAATTTCTCCGAACTAGGGACTATTATGACTGAGACACAAACGATGCAGGAAGCCTGCCTTATGGAACCTACTGTACAGTGGAGTCAACGTCAGGCGGCTCGGAGTACAATATTACGGACAATCATTACAGACGAGCTGCTGGAGAAAGTACCAATCACCTATTCTGCAGCAAAGAAATTGAAAATTTCTTCCTTGTGCTGCGTGTCTTTAATAATGTTTTAGCTGCAGAGTGTAAAAATAAGGGAAATGAAGTTTCATTTGTATAGCTGGCATATTCAAGTACAGGATGCAATATACAGTACATGTGGGCTGTCGTGCTGTACCGATAACGCGAACGTGTGAACCTGTTATACATGTGTGTGTCATCAATGACTCATCATTTCGTCATTGTGGGTAGGGTGGGAAAAATTGAACCCCCATTGGAAAAATCCTGGATCCGACCCTGGTGTGTGTGTGCGTGCGCGCATGTGTGTGTATGTGTGTGTGTGTGTCCCCCCCCCCCAGCACAAGCTGCTATGGCTTCTGCTGTAGCATCGCTATCATCGCCTCCGGCGATGGGCGTCAAATGGTCAATGGCAATGGTGTGTGTGTGTGTGTGTGTGTGTGTGTGTGTGCATGCATGTGTGTTCAGGTGTGTTTTTGTGGGGGGGGTCTGTGCGTTGCCGGATGTGTCTGTTTGTCTCTAATTGGGCCCTCTAAATATCAATGTCGACAAGATAAAAAATTCCTTGTGGCCGACAGGAACATCACACCATCTGACATCGGCAACATTGTTGTTGTGAAAGGGAAGGCAACAGAGGATTTGCCCCTATTCCTCTCTACCTTGGTTCTGTTGCTACACCGGTTTACTCACTAAAAGAGAATTGCGCCGGCGCAATGTTGAAGCACACAATACCTTTTGTGAACTGTGATGTGTTTTTGTACACAAAACCTGTCCCTGTGCACCAAATGACATCTAAACCTTTCCTGTATAGCCTCCATCCTTATGTATAGTACTGAGTGCTGGACTCCGCTGAAAGCAGACCTTGAAACCAGGCATTTCAACATGTTTTGGCCAGCATTGCCCTGAGGGGCTAGGTCACCTTGCCAGGATGCCAAACCTCCTAGATTTCCAATCAACTCCTGTTTGGACAGCCGCCCCATAATCGTTTGAGATGTGGTCCAAGTAAAAAAACAGGTGATGGGATGCGGCTGCTCATGACTTCAAACTGCGGCTAGGGACATCCCCATCTTCTGTCGGTCTGAGACGGCTGGTGGGCAGAATGTAGTGGTTAACGACGGTCATGAATTAGGCTTCTCCATACTGACTAATACCACCAACAATGGCGATAGTCTGCTTCATTGTTCTGTTGATTATTCGTCTCCAAACTCTGCTATCTTGCTTGCCAAACATTTCTGGAGGCGCAACACATTCTATCTCCTTGCAATGTGGCTCAATCCTGTGTTCTACCTGTCATCTGCTCTATAAGCCTTTCATCGCCTTTGGCCATGAAATGTCACAAGTTGGCAGTGTGTGTGGTTCTATGTGCACTTGAGAGGGAATGCATGTATGCAGGTATGCAGGTATGTACAGGTTTTTGAGTTTGTATTCTGTGGGTGGGTGGTTGAGCGTGTGTGGGTGTATGTTAGTGTAAGTGTGTGTTTGGGTGTTAACATGTGTGGGCCAATGTATGAAGAGGAGAGAGTGTGTGTGAAATAACAGTGGTGCTGCCCAACAAATACAGGGTTTGCTCGCAACATGAGCCATTAGTTAGTAAGTGCTCATCATTGCAGCAAGAAAACCATTTCAATAAAATTGTATTACAAAGAGGTATTTACTTCTGCATGGGTTATAATGTGGGTATCCAATGACAACATAGTTTGTGTAAAATGTACATGTATGTGTAATTGTATGTTGTTGATTGCTCAGGGGTCGTCTGTAAACACATGTATTTACTTATAGACGTCTAACCGGCGTTTGTGGTTGGTTCGCCAACAAGGCGTTTCTAAAAAATACATTTCGGAGTGCATGCATACCATACCGCGTGTGTACATGTACATGATGTAGCAGTGCTACAGCTAGTACAGGTAGGCGTTGAGATGCACTACACTGCACTACACGCATCACAGCAGAGTAGACAGGGACACATACACAGCCATACTCTGTACTCCCAGAAACATGCGCTTGCATGCAGTGACAGGCAGCTACCAGCAGACTTGTAGGTGTAAAACAGGATCCTTGGGCTTGGTTTCAGGTTCAGGTGGACATGTAGCCCATGACAGTATGACTCAGGTGCACTTGCTTTACATGTACATGCGGACCTATAAGATTTGGTTCGTTATAACGAAAACGCTGCTGTACCTTCGCTATAATGGGTCACATTTTGTATGGTTTCAAACAGAGACAAGGACAAGGGTTAGCTATATCACGAAATTCGTTAATATGCGAGTTCGTTATAAGTGGAGTCGACTGTACTGTATAAATTATGTGTTCATAGCATGGTGTTTATTATGAGTGGTATTATCTGCACTTTCGGGGGCCTTGCTGGGGGTGGGTGGGTTAAGGTGGCAGACTACCCAAAAATTCGCTGAAAAATCGAATTTGTAAATTCATATTGAGTGCTACGTCAGTTGAAAGGGCATGAATAGCTGCAAATTCTCTGAAAATTGTGTCCCGATCTGACCGGCAGTTCAAGAGTTATGGCCGAAAATGTGCCTTTGCAAGGAAAGATTTTTTTGTTGCACACTGTCATTTGTTGGCAGCACTGTATTTGAATGTGAGCAGACCGTGCGCAACTTGTCGTATCATGGAAACACGTGAAAGTGTGCAGAATTTTGCTCCAAGTCCAAAAAATCAGGTTTTTGAGCCACGTATTGGGCTGCACGGCAGCGGGCGAAGCCCGCCGCCGTGCAGCAGGACTTTTGCCAGCACCCTCGTGACGTTGCAGATATGTGGCTTGATTATTGTAGTTGACGTTGATTTAGTGACTTTGGCAAGTTTGAGTCGTGTCAAGAAGTCAGGTAGGATTCAGTACTAGGCAGTAGTGAAACGTGAGTGGTAGTCTTTGCCGGTTTCTGAGGGTATCCTGGATTTGGTGTGCAGCGCTGTGGAAATGGCTTGCTGTGGACGTCCCAGCACTGGATGTTCTATCAAAGGTACGACCTCGTAGCACGTGCTAAACCTAAAAAAATTCAAAAATTGACTTGGGTCTGTGGGAGTGTGTGAGAGAACACCCACTAGTTCCGTTGTGACAGATTCCAGGGCCTCGTTGAGGGGCCCTACCCCATCACCCATGGCTGCTTCTGGACTTGTTCTAGGTTTGAGTCCCGCGCACGAACAGAATGAGCACGAAAATGTGAAAAAATTGTAAATGCATTTGTTTGGCTCCTGGATGGCTCGCACACCGTGGCACTATGCCGGAAATTTGAGTTTTTCCGGCCTGGAAAGCCTGTCAGTGAGGCGCAAGAACTTGTAAATCATGTCCTGAGGGCCAGCATAGTGGCAGGAGTGTGTGATCAAAATTTCACTCAAATCCATTGAGAAACACCAAAGTTACGGTCAATTGAATGCCATATGAAATTTATGGGTAGGCTGCCCCCTTAAGAAAGAAACGCCTATTTGACGTCTCTAAGTAAATACATGAATTTACGGACGCCCCCCCCCCCCTCCCCCACCGTGTTCCTGTTTTCTCTTTTGTGTCTCTAGGCCTTTTTGAAGTTTTTCTGAGCAGCTGGCTTTACTGCATTGTTGATCAATTTTGCACGTAAAAGAGGCTACTGTTTACATGTAATCCTTACAACATGATTGGAACACCAAGACCATACCTGTAGTCGGTTGTTGGAAGTATCAACAATGATCACTCGTTCATCATCTGTTACATGCACGGCTGCTGGGCCACGGAACTCTCCACAGTTTGTACCCTCCTGACCAGTCGTCTGCTTGAACCGGCCATCAACACCGTGTATCTAAGTGTATTGACAAAAAGGAATACAATTTACAAACGTTAACACAACCATGCACCCATACATAGCCCAGATCCAAACATACATGTAGTAAACATTTGGTTGCAGTGCTATAGTGTGAATCTAGCGAAAAGCTCGTCCAAAAATGTCAGTCACACATACATGTACACACCCAATGTGCTGTCAGCCACCCCATTCCACGTGCACGTCACCACCTCAGCCAGGACAATTTAGTTGAGATATTGACTTTCCAGACCCTCCAGATACCTTTTCGGTCCAACATCTTCTGGGTTCTGAGTCGAGTGGTCGTGGTCCGAGGAAGCTGAGACGCTCCTTTCCTACTTTAATCCCAATCGAACTCGCGCACTTCCACCGAAACTGGGTGACTGCGCCCTACTAGATGGGGATGTGTATGCAAAATGTCACTAAAAGCGCCATTTCGTTCTTATAAAAGCACGGATGACCGCGATTGGCCCATATGTTGTAGTCTTTTGGACGCTGAGTCGACTGGTTTTGGTCCGAAAAGGCTGCGATGCAGCGTTCCTCCTTTATTCCCAATCGAACATGGTTGAACAAGCGGTCACGTGCTCCTGCGTACACCAGTCACCTGGTCACCGTGCCTGCAGGGTACAACTTACAAGCGTGTTTGACCTTTTTTGGGTGCAGTCCTGTCACTCGAGTTGAACTCGAGTTGAACCTTGGTGTGAAAGTTGTCGCCTGCTGGCGTGGTGAGCTGGTGATTTGGGCACCCAGGAGCACGCGACCGCTTGTTCAACCGTGTTCGATTGGGAATAAAGGAGGAACGCTTCATCGCAGCTTTCTCGGACCCAAAACCAGTCGACTCAGCGTCCAAAAGACTACAACATATGGGCCAATCACGGTCATCCGTGCTTTTTTAAGAACGAAATGGCGCTTTTAGTGACATTTTGCATACAAATCCCCATCTAGTAGGGCGCAGTCACCCAGTTTCGGTGGAAGTGCGCGAGTTCGATTGGGATTCAAGTAGGAAGGGAGCGTTACAGCTTTCTCAGACCAAGACCATTCGACTCAGCGCCCCGAAGACTACAACTGGTGAAATTTTAATTTTTGCCTTAACTTCCCCTTTAAGATACAATGAGTGATTGATGTTGTATAGGCGAAAACTTTCACAATTTCACACTTTCTCTCTAGTGTGGCATGCCCTAGCGAACAAAGGGGTTAGGTGATAACCGACAGTTTTAGCAGATGTGACAATACAAGTGTGCAGTGTTTGGACATTCAGCACTCGTATGAGTGGCTATTGGCTACTAGTAGCACCTCTCTTTGTTTGTTGATTTTGCACCAATTCTAGTACTGCAGACGACCGGAAAGCATTTCCCAGTAACGCACACTTGCACTATCTGTTATCACCTATAGCGTCAGTGTCCTATAGCATGCCTAACTTTGACGTAGAAAGCGCACAATTGCGACTGTTTTACCCCCTTATAACATTATTCCTTCACCCAGATCTTCCACAATTACTAACCACCACTGATGAGCTCTGTTGGAGCAAAGTAGCTGCCTTCAGCGTAAGATAATATCAATATCACAATGGAAATGTCCTCGTTGCGGTGGTGATGTAAAATTGGAATGGCTCGGCCAAGAAAATATTTACGAGTGGGGTGTCACAGGTATTCAAAGTCTTTTGTGAATTACAATAATCACCTTTGTCCAGTTTGATGGTTTAGAAAAACTAATCTGCAAGAGAAATGACATTCTGCTTATATCAACTTCTCTATCTTGTGTTCACTGGGCTTACAGGTTAACTGGATGGTGCAATAACGTAAAATTTAGAATTTTGAAGAATTCATCCAAGGGATTGTCTACTACTGTTTGAAATAGTCTTGAGCATCTTCAACCTGACCAATTGAGATCCTTATTTTCAATTCTACAAATGCACACACAGACCCTCCCGAGCAGGTCATCTATCAGAGTGACATTTACATACAAACTGTGCTTGTCGGTTAGCATTGTACTGTGAGTTCAGTTACCTTTATTCTGTGGTTGCTGCGGTCACAGATGATCAGGTCACCAGCTTTGTTTGATGCTAGTCCCCAAGGGCCTTTAAACTGATCTCTCCCACTGCCATATCTACCAAATGAGTACCTTGATTTGTGGATCTGTGTGTAATCACGCTGCAATACAGGAGAGCAGTAACAGTAATCAACACTAGGACCATAGAGGGAGAAAGTAGTGATGTCAAACCTGGCTGTATGGTCATACACTTCATACTTGGATTTCAAATTTTCATTGGCCTCATGTTTCGTATAAGGAGTAGTTGATGGGATATACATCACTCTAAGGTGAGGGAACACATTTTTGACTATACAACCCTACAAAAATTGATCAGAATTGGCAGCTCTATCAATCCTCTGGAATGTCCATGACAAATCAGTTTCAAGCACTACCATGACCACAACTCAACATTGAGGCAACAACAATGGAGTTGGCAGCAAAACAAACGAAGGAAAGGACTAAACTAATATCATTTGTTACATAACTAGTCACACAAGGGAATGGTCTCAAACTGCGGAGAGTGCTCAATGCAAGCGAGGCAGAGCTTCATCACACACAAGCGGAAAAACCGTCAGAGATCAAATTCCATTACACAGTGTTTCACCGTTCAAGCAACGGATCATCCATCTGATGATCCGTTGCTTGAACGGTGAAACATTGTGTAACGGAATTTGATCTCTGACGGTTTTTCCGCTTGTGTGTAGCATAACTAGTCATATATACTCATGGTTTTGCCCTGCATAGTGAAACTCTAACTTGAACACACACCAGTGTTGTGTGTATGTCAACTATACTCAACTAATGCATGATGACGTCATACACGTACCACTGCACACCCAGTGATGCAGGACAACAGACTGTAGGAGAAATTTGATATACCGTCGCATAAACTTGTACTTGTAAAAGTAAGCCTTTCAAAAGTAGACCAACCTTCCGTGGTGGAGATGCAGCAACTACTGCTGCCGCTGCTGATGATGCTGTTGATGGTGAAGGTGACAACTGTCTGGAGGCACGTGACTCCAGGGCAGCAAAGCGTGAATCCACTGTGGCAATGCGTGAGTCCACTGCAGCCAAGCGTGTATCCACGTTGGAGCTGAGTGAACTGAGGTTAGTGACAACGGTGGAAACTCTCTCCCTCAATGCATCCATGCCGTTCACTTTCTCTTCCACAGCTGTCACTCGGGTGATGATTGCCTGCTGTTGTGCGGAAATCGTTTGCAGTTGAGTCAGAATGTCTGCAAACTGACTCAAATAGCGATCTGCGGACTAGACAGACACGTAAAAAATAACACCACCCACGCACACACACACACACACACATGATTGTATTCACACACAAACACACACATTCACACGCATACACACACATACACACACACACACTATGAAGTATTATGCTCTGCGTGCACCCAATTGAAGCATTTCTACCTATGGATCACAGAGAACACAAATATCCAGTGCCGTGTAGTACAACGAGACAATTTCACAAATCAGAAAGAGAGCATTCAATAATTTTGCAAGGAAGAATTCAAAATTGACGGAGTGGAGCAGTAATCTCTGTATATTGAGTAGTACTAACTGGTCACTGCTTTTATGGATTTAGGGGTCTCGTCCGTAATTATCGAAAAATTAAAAAATCCGTCATCGTGCAAAATTGTCCCTAACCCACCCACCGACCCACGCCATTTTGTCCCATTAATATTTTGCTTTATCCCAATGCCCAGCTAGAAAAAAAGAACTCCTGACCCCAGGGTCACTGACTGCACCTGTGTCAGGTACATTGTACTAGTAGCTACTGTCCTAGTTTGTTTGTTTCTGGTTTTTGTTTTTGTTTTAGCAGGTCTACCAACGGCCATGCACGTCCACAACTACATGTTCATGATACTGGTGTTTGCGACATGACGATTACAGTCAGTACACTGCAAAGCCAGTGCAACAACTGTATGAAGGTCACTGAAGAAAAAAAAAGTTTATGAAAATTGGACTCGGAAAAATCTAAAAATTAAATTCTGCCAGCACTACTGACCACCCAACCCCTTTTGTATATAAACGGTTTTTTAATTTTTTAATTACGGACGACCCTTTATGGCTCTGATCCACTACTTTATGTTTTCATGTTACCATTCTGGATAAGGGACCTATGCAAATCTATACCAAGGTTGAGGTTGTGGAGTTTCGAGGAGTTCTTTTTTCTGAAGAGACCAATAAGGCCACCTTTCAGAAAAGCGAATCTCCTGGAAAAGTCAAAGAGTGACAATTCGAACGCGCTCTTAGAGTATGAGTGTGTAGATAGGCAAAGCCAGGTCTAATGTATGCTCTGGTAGCTGCACCATTCAGGCATGCATCAGCCTGTATTGCCCATTTACATGTAAACATTGCATGTATACCCAGCTAGGCTGTATGCTAACAGTACAGCACAGTGAGTACAAAGTCATGTTATACTATGTCAGTACATCCATACCATAGAGGGAAGTGAGATCTGCAGTAAGTGCATGTGAACATCAGCCGATGTTGGTCTAGATCCAGGATCATCATGCAGACACGACACGATTAGAGAATGCAGTGGGTGATCCGAGCCCAGTCGATCCAGATCTGCTTTGCGTCGGCGACCCTCCGGAACTGATCTCCGCGTTCCATTCTCCAGCAGAACAGTAGCTTCAGTTGGGGAAGGCGGTCGTCCCACAAGCAGCGACAGCATCACCACTCCTAGAGAAAACACATCCAGTTTTTCGTCGTATGTTGTGCCCACTTGCAGGCTCTCTGGCGGCATAAAATAAGGCGTACCGGGGCACCGTGTCAGAGTTGTCAAGTCTGCACCTTGACCACCGTGAAGAGAGCGGGCCAAACCTACATCAGCTATCTTGGCTCTCCCTGCCGTGATCAAGATGTTGTGGGGTTTCAAATCGCGATGCAAAATGTTCTTGCCGTGTAGAAAACGCAAACCTTCCGCCGTGTCGACAAGATACTGA